CGGGATATCACTCAAGAAAGTGCACACGAATGGATACCCAGAAGATTCGAGAACTTTCCTATATCCTACAATCAACAAACACTTAAAAATATTTGTTTGTCGTACGACAAATGAAATATTATCCTAAGAAGATATCATGGATAAGGAATACCTGGATGGAGCGTAACAGCGTGAGGTGAAACCAGAGATTCTTTTGGAAAGTAAAATGATGCTTGCCTCTGGATCACAGAAGGCAATATGGCCGCGAAGCTAGGAATATCAGACCATGGAGTCCAAAGACCACTATTTCCTACAGTTCCTATCATGGAGAATGTATAAAGGTGCCTTTTCACGCGTCGCTCGTCGCTGGATTTCTCGGTACATGATTGGCCGTCATAACTTTTGTCGCTGGTAACTCTGTTGATCTATGAAAAGAGTTCAAGCGATATTTTAGGCTTGTTTTCTGTTCCTACACTAGTGAACTAGTGCAATAAATTGGAGTAAGACAAGCATATTTTTTCTCATTCTAGCTTACTGCACTAGTTCACCAGTGCAGGAACAGAAAACAAACCCCTAGTAACCTCAAAGTTGTGAAATATTTATATGGGCGTATCCCGTTTGGACACGTAACGATTGGACACCGCTCGATTGGACACGCACTATTGGACACACATTATTGGACACCGCATTATTGGACACAAGCATTATTGGACACAAGCATTATCGGACACCGCATTATTGGACACCGTATTATTGGACACTGCATTTTTGGACACCGTATTTTTGTACACCGCATTATTGGACACAAGCATTGCAAGTTTGGACACTGCATTTTCGGACACCGCATTATTGGACACCGCATTATTGGACACCGCATTTTTGTACACCGCATTATTGAACACAAGCATTGCAAGATTGGACACTGCATTGGGGTTGTCCCGATTGCGCTAGAGAGCCTCTCTAGATTGCGCACATAACCGATCGGACACGGCAATATTTCCCGATCGGACACGCATTATTGTCATAATTTTGCGAAAAATCATTAGAAATGTCTAACTCTCAATTGTTTTTTTTTAATTTTTTCTAGAATGATTTTTCGCAAAATTATGATGATTTCAAGTTTTACATTTCATCAAAAATTTTGAAAATTTCTGAAAATGTCGACAGCTTTATTTCAAAGAAGAAAATTTTTAAAAATTTTTTCCTCTTATGGAGTCAATGTATGAAATGTGTACTGTGATAACCTGCAGGCGATTTTTTTTAAACGATTTGGAACCGACTTATGGCTGATTTTATAAAAAAAGACGAAAACGACATGTAACATATTGTTTTAACTATTGTACAATTGTCGTAGAATAATGAAACCAATAGCACTGAAAAGCTAAAAGTTTCAGCTTTGCAATGCTTCTTGGCTCATGTCTGTATGATGATTCGTTTAAAAGTTATAATACTTTTTGTGCGCGCATGCGACGCTTCAATCCGTTTGACGTTTGTCGGAGCGTTTCGTAACCTCACTGTGCAATGCTCATCTTGCATAATTTCTTACGTAAAAAGTATTGCTTGTACGGAAAAAGCTTACAGAACATTTTTGATGTAAAATTTTCCATTCTTTAATTTTTCTCTCTTGTACTTTCTTCGTAAAATCGATATTTAACGAGATATTTGCAAAAAACCGAGATTTGAGCTCTATTTGTTTAATTACTTTTCTTAGCGGCCACTGTACAATGGTAAACTTTTGACTCCTTCAATCTGACGTAAAAATGAAGGTCTGTGCAAAAATTTAGCTGGTATGTATTTTTTCCGAGGTTTCTCTCAATTTTTGTCTAAAGTAAGGGTGCTTTCACATGGAGCGTAAGTTGCGTAGCGTAACCTGCGTATCGCCAATCACAGGACTAGTTCAACGGAATTATTGAAACTGTTCTATCAGCATGATCCTGTGATTGGTGATATACAGGTTACGCTACGCAAGTTACGCTCCATGTGAATCCAGCCTCACTGGGCTATCGTTGATTGGCTGCTGCTCGACGATTGGCTGCTTGCTGCGTGCAGTCTGCACTAGGCTTTATACGTTCTCCATGGGTGAAACCTCTGGTGAAACGTAATCACGGCAGTGTCCGTACATACGGTCGCTCGTCTCACGGGAATTCCGGTCTCCGCCAATCCGCGAGTTGGATCGCGACGACGAAATTCGACGCACACAAACATACGTGCGGCGTCGTCGTCGTCGCCGTCGCGTTTAACATTTTGCGTTTTCCGTATCCGGTTTTGAATGAGATCGCGAAAACGCAGTGTCCGCGTGATTTGTTGTGTCTCTCGGTAAAGGTGACCCGGCGCGATAGCAGAAAATAATACGCGGTAGGGCGTGCGAATAGGCTCACTTTGGAGGATCCCTCGTCCCTGACCAACGGTGAGTTCGCACAAATCCTGCATCAAGGATTACTACGATTACTACTAGAGGCGAAGCCTAGATTCAGGTTTCCTTCGAATTGAACGTAGCAAATAGACGCTTTTAGATGCCCGACGGTACTACGCGTGTCTTTGACATTTTTCCGTCGCGCGTACGTCAACCGACTTCAATTACGCGGCAATAAGATTCGGCTGGGGTCGATTGAATTCGCAAAGCGAAGCCGCTGTTGACAAAATCTGTTTACAGGCAAACATGGAGACGTTCAACGTCCAAGTGGTGCAACAGCTGAAAATATTGGCCCGGCTGTGCATGAACGACCCGTCTCTCCTGTACGATCCCAAGATGTCCTTCATCAAGGATCTGATAGAGCATTATGGCGGCAAGATACCGGAGGCCAAAGCCAACGATGCGTCAGACACCAAAGCGGAGTCTGAGAGCAAGCCCGCGGAGCCACAGTCCGAATCGGACCCCGTGAGCGAGGAGCAGAGCGAGGAGAGCGACTTGGAACTCGACATGACCAGCGTAATCGGTTCGTATGCTCATCTTTTTCCAATCCTTTACATTGCATATCGATTCTCGCTACGTTACCAAATGCTTAATCACTCGAGTGCCCGAGCACGTTAATGTTTTTACGAGTGCCAGTTTACCAGCCTCACGTTTCAACTTGTAATTACATAGCGGTGATCACGGCAAGGTATTCTCGGTGAGTTGCCTTCCGAGAGGTGGTGATCTTTGGTTGAATTTGAACGTAAATCGTCGGTTTTTTCAGTCCTGTGTCCATGATCCAACAACTGTGTCCAGGTTATAATTCCGAGAAATATGTAGTCAATCAATCAGGGCTCGATTCTTCAATTTATTCCAAGGAGAAACGTATGTGAAAATTCTGCCCTTACAGAAAAGCTGCAAGTCGATTGGCTACTCGCGTGGCTTTAACCAATCGACTTTCAGCTTTTCTGTCGGAGCAGAATGTTTGTGGACGCAGTTCTTGGATCGTGGACACGAGGCTTTAAAGCAACGTGCATCTCTCTATGCCATGACGACCACTACTTGTACATTGCTTCTCGCGATAATAATGCGACGTGTGTGTCTTGTTCTTTTTTTTTCAGAACCAGATGAGGACACTCCTCAGAAAATGGGAAATTCGACTTTGCAGCCCACGGAGGAGGAAATGGCAGAGTCACAGGCAAAGAGATCCGAAGCGGTCTCGGCATTCGTGGAGAAAGATTACGAGAAGGCCATACAATTTTACACGGAGGCCATTGTACTGAATCCACAAGCAGCTCTGCTGTACGCCAAGCGCGGTCAAATTTTCCTGATATTAAACAAGCCGAATGCGTGCATTCGCGACTGCAACCGCGCTATAGAATTGAATCCGGACAGCGCGGCGGCTCACAAATTCCGAGGAAGAGCCTACCACCTGCTCGGCAAGTTCGAGGAGGCGGCCAACGACCTGAGGCTAGCCTGTAAACTGGACTTTGACGAGCAAGCGGACGAGTGGCTGCGCGAGACCACGCCGAACGTAAGTACCTCTTTACGTTCTGCATGGGGGACGCTGCATGATGAGTGTGTTCTGTTTTGCATGCGTAGAGTATTCATGTCGTATCAGAGAACAGATGCTTTTATATAAAATACGAGTTCCCGAAGCGAGTTACTATCTGATCTCACGTTCCTTCCCTTGTAGCCTTTGACTCTCCTAGGGGCTCCTTATATTAAAAATCGAGGCGCACGTGATGAACGTCAGAGTCGAACCCGAGACTTGACTATTAGTCGATTACTCTTATACATTCCGTCATGCGTCTAGAAAAGAATAATTGAGAAATAACGAATACTTGGACTCTTACGTCGTAGTCGAGTTGCAAAATTCTACAAAAGTGTTTTAGGGTTTTGTCTATAAAGTTCCTTACAGAACTTAGTAACGAGGGAAATTGTTGTGTGAGTGCTGCACAAATAAATACACATGCATTTTGATAAAAATGTAACGTTTGTGGACGCGCGGCTTGCACACGCAAAGAAATTACTTGGTAATATCAGCCAAATTGCAGTAGCTGCTTTGAAATTAGTTAAAAGGCTAAGTGTTTTGTTGCCGTTGGTAAAAGTCGGTGATTATAGATAAAAATCAATCACTGCGAGATACAACTTTATTAGTTGGAAAGAATAGCGCACTTAGCACGAGCAGTTAAGAAAGTAGCAGCTACTTCGAAATATATTACGCGCGCGATCCCGATTTACAATTCTTTTTGAGACGTTGCCATATGTATCAGCGTACCATTACTTCGCGTGTGGTACAATACAACGGCATGGTATCGTTCTTTTCGTCCTCTACTGCCGTTCGACGTATGTTTCTGCGCTTCTGTATACACAGCTAAATATTATTTGTTTCTAACAGCTAATATTTTTCGCTGCAGTATCTAAATTCAAAGAGCTAATAAATTGAGGTTTGGCAGCAACATTAGCTGTCCCTATTTCAAAGACACATTTTAGCTGTCACTGCTAAATTTTAGCTCCTTTGGCTAATCTTTTCTTTGCGTGCACGGATTATATTACGATCCATGTTTAATATGTAATTGTCGCTTCGAAAAGTTCTCCCTTGACAAGATGAGTGTTTGCAAATCTCCATACCTGCTACCTTGCTAAACGCGTACATTCGTCTACTGATGTTTAGAATTCATTGTATTTGGGTGTGAAATGACATAGCACGTATACACAAACAGCAACCACGACACACGTTCTTATTTAAAACGTACACTTGCCCAGGCGCAATTAATCATAAGTTAATCATAAGAAGTATATGTACGCATAAGAGATTCATATAACGAATCCTATAATTATATTTCATTATCAGTTTAAACGTGTATGTATATATATATCGTGTGTCAATAACAATTAACTCTAACTCTAAAGAAATAGATGCCTTGATAACATATATCTGTAACATTTTAATTAAATTTACTTGACGTAATATCTTTGTATAATGTAGAATAACAATGACGAGACAGTAGCAACAACAATGGTAATAACAACAATAATAATATCAACAATACACATACTCAAACGCCGAATAAATCGCGTTATACTTGTACCATTACTTCATGACAAAGCCTGCTCCGTTGTCCGCAATTTAAAGTATAAATCGCTTGCAATGCCTCTAACATGTTCGCGCTTTTATTGAAAAAACTAACTTGTTTATAATGAAGAGAAAGCATTTTATTATACCTTATTTATCTTAGAATTGATATTCGAGGATCACGGATGTTAACAATTATTCAGAACAGTTTATTTAAAACTAATGCAATATATTATATTTGAAAATGATAGCAACGAAAACAATTTAAAGATACAAAATTCGAGAGTTCAATTTTAGATTGAATTTTGCGATCTAGAATTAAAAATTTTAATAATCGAAGGCTATAAAAGGATGATGATAGTGAGTCTGAGAAATGAAACGAGACTAAGAACTTGAAATATTATAAATCTTAACATCTAAGACATGTACAGGGTGGTCGGAAATTCAACCGACAAATATTCAGAGATTGTCGGGTGCATCATAAGAGTCATTGTTTGCAAATGAACCTGGGGTCGGAAACGTGTCATTAGGTCGTTACGGCATACGGAGTGTTCGAAAGAGTCGGGACATTGAAGTATCACAAAAAAAAATTACGTTTCATAAAAAATTGTCTTAGGCAAAAGTTGTAGGGTGTAAAAAGATTTATTTATTGGTGGCCATGTGTTTGACCTTGTATGGCATCGCCAAGGTCAGGACAAGGCCACCCTGACTTTTTTTAATGGAACCCTCCACTTTTTATTGCATATTCTTGTAGTCCTTCTTGAGATCTTCTCAAAGCATTAAATTTTACCAACTTTAAGTAATCCGTTATCAAGCTTTTCATGGTAAAATGTCTCGCCCACGAAGGCAAGAAATCCAAACACAAATTCGATTCCTAGATTGGAAGATGATCTAGCCATCCAAGGCAAGATCGGTGGCTGATCCAGCCTATGAAGGCAAGATCAAAGCCGATGAAGGCTCTGTATGAGCCTTGAAAATAATTCTTATGGTGCTTTCGACAATCTCTGAAAATTTGTCGGTTGAATTTGCGATCACTCTGTGATATCTTAGAGATTAAAATTTAATCTTCCAATATATTAGATAGAACTATTTTAGAAAATTCGGTGTTTAAAGGTATAGGAAACTTATATTCTGTCTAACGCGAACTAGAAGGAAGCCTAAATTTTTTTTATCAAAAATACGCCACGATTCGTCTCACACGTTAACCGAGTAATGCGTGAGAGAACAGCATATCTTTAATTATTTAATTACACATTTTAATAAGAACACAAAATCAGCTTATACAAGGTATTCCACAAAAGCCACAAGAAGAGATCATCTTATCTCTTTTTCGTAATGGAAATATTTCGGTATAATTAGTTAAATTTCCCCGGTACAGAGAAATTCGGCGGACAAAATCGTTGCTCAACGTTACATCGATTCTGGAGAGTCTGTCTTCTTCCAAGATAATCAGCCGACGCCGATTCGTCGGGAGAATTTCAGGATTCGGTGCGACACTGGTTTAAAATGTACATTTTTAAGAGCTCGAAAAAATTAAATTTAAAATTAAAGCAACTACAGTTAAGACGAAATTTACAAGTGACATGAAATATAAATATTTGAAATAAAGTTAATTTTATAGGATGTTCAATTTTTACTCTCTGAAATTAAATTTCTTCAAATTAAGATAATAAGCACGAAGAAAAATTTTGCAAATTCAAAATTAAATTTAATAGAAAGTAATAAATTAAGAATATATTTTTAGATTCTCTAGCGTTAAATTTTGAAGAATCTTTTCGAGCACCTAGAAAAGTGCGGTGAGCCACTGTCGCACCGAAGCCTCGGATTTTCGCCGAGAGGAACCGATATCTGAACACATAAATTCAAGGGGAACTCTCACTGTCCGCTTTTGGATCGGAATGGTAGCACTCGCATTGTTTTACCAGACACTAGCAATACACTTGCTCTTCTTCTGCAACCGAGGAAGTGTCCCGACCACCGAACTCGTGATTATCACACACTCCGATATCCACATCGTGCTCACGTTTTTCACATTGTGTCATATCGTGAGGGACGAGGCTAAACTATTCGGATCTAGAAATTACGTGGCGTTACTCGCCCGCCCAAAATGATGGCACCCCCAATTTTCATACTTGGAGACTCCATGCCGTACTGTTTCCGCTACTGTCGCGAACCGACCTCTTGTCATCGGAGCACCTCGAGTACAACTCGCGAGGGTAACGCGAGCTCTAGCTGCCTGTGTTTCAAGAAGATCCTTGGTACCATCTCAAATATCGGACCACGTTTTTTTTTAGCTCGTTCACCATCGTCGAGCATCTCTAAGCTACCAAGGCTACAGGCTGAGTGTTTCTTCTCGGTCTAGCGGAGGTAAACGTCGCTTTGTCGCCAGTCCGTATTTCACATGGTATCAAGAGCTCCGTTCCGGAACGCGAATACGCACTCAACTCGGTGGGCTGTTGCCTTCGTTCTCGTGCAGCACCGCCTCTACCGACTTCTTGTAGTTGCCCACCAGCTCGGGCAGATCGTAGGCGATGGCCACGTCGAGCCTGTTGATCGGGCAGCCGCGGAAGTACGTGCACGTGGAGCTCAGCAGCGGGAAATCGTAGAGCGGATTTAGCCGGAAGAAATCACGGTACACATCCGGATCTGGTAGATCGTAGCGCGATATGTTGGTGAGAGTGCTGAGGCCCTCGTAGATGTGATAGTCCTGCGGGTTCTCGATGATCTTGTCGCTGATCTCTCGCTTGTTGCCGAAGAACGTCTTGTGATTGTAGTACGTCGTCAGGTAGCAATCTACCATCTTAGCGTGGTTGCGCACTCGTACCTGAAATTCACACGGACCGAACACGTCAAGTGGCTTTTTATTACAGCAGTTTTATTCTACTAAGACGGTGAATTGGATCTCTGTGTCATGGATCTCCGTATTATTTTTTTCGAGGAAAGACCGATCGCTTTACTACGCTAGAATTGATATGAACTTACGGCGAATCTTCTGGCGCTCGCTATCTTGTGCTCGACCCTCTTGTTTATCGCGGAACGTAGGTCGCGAAGGAATGCGCGTTCTTGAGCGTACAACAACCTGATGGGCGCACCAGCCTCGTAGGGTAACGACCATAACGACGTGGAATACATTATTGGCGGCTCCGCGCTTGACATGAGCGGTGATATATTCCAGATTAGGGCGCCTTGTACCCTCATAAGTTCCTCGGGCTTCACCTGGTCGGCTTTGTTGAGGATAATACGAGTCTGTTTGAAAGTAACGTTACATTAGGGATTCCTTTTAGGGCAAGTTTCCTCAGTTGCCAATAATGCGAATATTATTTTTCGGTCGACTCATTCACCTGATATTCTCTTCCCTTCAACTGATCAAGGATCGCTTCCGTTTCGGGACCGACGTCCAACTTGGCGGGGTCGTAAACTAAAAATATTATGTCCGCTCGATCGATGAACCACTGGCACGCATCGTTAAAGGGAAATAAGCGTTGAACTTGCTTCCGAATCTCCAAGATACCCGGAATCTCGACGATGTTCACCTAACGACATACTAGATAATTAATATACGGAATTTTATATTGTAGTTTAATAATGTATCACGCGTAAATTATGCCTCGAATAATATCGAACGGTTTTATTTTAAAGTTCATTATTGACAAATTTTGAATCATGACTGTGATTAACATAATTATAAAATGGTTTTTTTTGTAAATTAAAACTGTTTCTTTTAGAATTTTTAAAATTTAATACAAATTAGAGCAGAATTTTATCTTGCATGATTTCCATTAAGGATCAATGAAAATGCAAAATGTTGAATATTTATTCCAAATAAAAATCTTACAAATTAAATCTCTCTTGACTAAAAAGATGATTGTGCATTATTCGTCAACGTATATTTTCCGATATACGCAATAAATATCTGCGGATGAATAATCATTTATGTTTGCTTACTTTCTCGAGCAACTTATTATGAAGTCGCAGGCCTCTGAGACGGTCCAAGAGACCCTGTCCGAACTTCTGCAATCCCGAAAAAGTCCAATCGGCGGCCAACTGAGTGCCGTCGAGAACCTCTTCTTCCTCGCCGTGCATTATTATGTTGAAGTACGCCGGTGACGGCTCGGCTCCTGTGTCATTTTTTCCATTTGGCGATTTGCAATGCTCTTCTAAGCACTCTCTCAAACCACCTAAACACTCTCTGTATACTCATGCTTCTAGCACATGCCATCTACTGCTAATTGTAAGTCTTAACTACTTTATCAGCGCAAAGCCAAGGAAGAAAATGTAAAACAGCGACATCACTTTCCTCCTTTAGTTAATTACCCACCTGTCCTCAACGACATTGGCTTGTACTCGATGTCGAGCAGATAATTAATGATAGACGATTTCCCGCCGCTCCACGGCCCCATAAATAACACTAGCGGCTTGGAGAATATTTCAGGATCTAGTAAAATAGAGTAGTAGATTAATGTTCGCAAATCTCTTAACTTAAAGATACATTATTTATTTCGCTATTTGAAGTAAATGAATTAAATGAGAAAATACAATTAATTTGTAAAATCATAGCTCACTCACCTCCGAAATGCCTGTTGCTCAAGTCTCTGTATTTGTACATAGTCTCTAACGGTTGTATAGCGCTGTCGTAGAGCCTCTTCAGATCCCTAAGAATAATATCAGCCTCCCTTTGTATAGCTCGCTCTTTTTCCTCATTTTCTTCGTCCAATTTCAGCAATTGATTAAGGTGATCTCTAGGTCGGAGATTCTCCGGAATTTCAATCTCTTGAATTAAATCCTCTTCCGGAGTAAGTTCCGGTTCTTCCTCACTGTCAGCTGACGATACAGAATTGTATTATAAATTAACTATATAAGATGCAACACACATAATTAATATAATTAATATAATTATATTACCACAAAGATAGGATGAACAGTTTTTTTGAACATTATTCGTAAGGTCTCTTTACCATCTTCCGTAGATTCATCTCCTTCAGCGACTTCTCGTTTGCCGCGCACTTTCACATCTTCATCTTCCTCTCCCTCGGACTTGGCGTTCTCTTCTCCCGATTTTCCATCTTCTTCCGTCTTCGCATCCTCCTCTTCCGCGGATTTCGCCTCTTCGTCCTCCTTTGACTTTGTCTCTTCCTCCGTGCCCTCGTCTTCATCGGATTTTGCTCCCGCTGCTTCCTCTTCGTCCGACTTTGATCCTTCCTCTACGTCCGCGGAATCTGCTGTTTCAGCATCTTCCGCGCTTTCCTTTTCTTTCTCGTCACCTTCAGCGCTTTCATCCTGCGCCTCCTCGGTGTCACCTTTCTCATCTTCACCGCTCACCGCCTGATCTTCGGTCGATTCGGCGCCCTCTTCGGCTTTACTGTCAGCTTCTTCGTCTTTATCAGATTCTTCTTCAACACTAGCTTCCGCCTCTTCTTTAGACTCGACTCCCACTTCTTCAGTGGCTTCTTTGGATTCCTCTTGTTCCTCGTCTTTCGATTCTTCAGTTTCATCCCCTGCTTCTTCGGACTTGGCTTCGTCGTCTACTTTCTCCTCCTCCTCGGACTTTTCGTCTTCTACTTCGGCTTCTTCGTCGGATTTCTCTTCGTCGTGCTTTTCGTCTTCCTCTTCAGTTCTCGCCTCTTCGCTCTCTGCCTGTTTATCGGAGGAGTCGGTTTGGTCTCCATCGCCTTCCTCAGCGGACGCTCCCTCAACTTTCTCTGCTTCTTCTGAATAATATTGGTATTTTCTTTCGTTATGGCCTCTAAATGTTTGCATTTATTTAAATCATCAACGATTATTAATTCTACCTTCAGCACTTTCATCAGTCACAGCTTCTTCGCTTTGATCTTCTTTTTCAAATATCTCCTGTGCTTTTTCTTCGCTAGCATCGGCTTGCTCTTCGGTTGTTTCCTTACTCTCGTCGGCAGCCGCTTCCGCGCTTTCCTCTACCGATCCCTCCTCGTCCTTAGTCTCTTCTTTCGAAACGTCGTCTGCTGCCTCGCCAGTCTGAATAAAGAAATTTTCGATAATAAGATTTCTTCGGAAATATTCCGCATACTGCAAATTAACCTTCATTACGCGAAGAAATAAATTAAGGCTCGTGCTTACTTCCTCGCTCGCAGGCGATGCTTCCTCATGGCTCTCTTGGTCGATCTCGATTCCGACCTCTGCACTGGTCTGCTCCAAAGATCCTTCAAATGAAATATTCTAGAAATCGCTGTGTTCCAGCCGAGTATTCGCCACCATCTAACATTACCTGTGCCGAGATCCTTGAGCGCCTTCTCGATATACGGTCGACATAGGTCCTCGGATGGTACCTGTTCTCGCTCGTCCTCGCACTGCACTCCTAAAACGTTATTTCAGCGTCTGGCAGTTTTCGCTCGAGTCTCGAAGGAAATCTGTCTTATATTTTTCGCAATGTTTCAGATAAATAATGAAGAATTAAGTCACTTAAACAGGTTTATGTGATAAATCTCCTAAAAATATTCCTAATATTTATAATAATTACGCTTTGTCAAATAGATTTGTGATATACAATATGCAGAAAAATTAAAATATTGAATGCTAATGATATTTCGAAAAAGATGATTTGGGAGAAAGCCGGAGAACCCAGCTAGTAATTATATCATTACGCTGATTATTTTAATCTGTTATCAAGATTTCCTATTGAAACATTTTGAATTTCTAATCAAGCTATGCTCTTTAAAAAAATTTTGTAAGATTTAACATATTTACAACTTTCTTTCACTATAAAAATCATTAGCGTATTAGATCATAGATACACGTGTTTTTACTCTCAAAGACGATTGTACACACATTTTGTTCCGATATAATTGACTGCGTCAAATTCTCATCCGTTAACGATTCGCCGTGTCTGATTAATTCGCGATATCGAATGGCGAGGTTGACGTTACCAGAAGTCTCGCACACGTATCCGAGATATTTACATTGTTCGTGTGTCGCCGAGTGCCCCCGGCTGCCAGAAATTTTCGGCCAGGAGAATTCTCGTTGCGCGCGTTAACGCGGCCGTGCCAAAAGATATCGCGCGCGGTATTAGATAACTCATTGCACGGAGCTTCGGGGCGACGCGACGGTGAGTTTAACGCCACGCGACCACCAACCCGAAATATCTGACCCAGGTGACGCAAGAACCTGTCAAAGTCATTACGCACATTCTGGCCGAGCGGGTCGTGCGCGTGTCCGCGCCCGGTGACAGGTGTTCAGGAACACCTAGCGCGACTTGTCATCCAACGTGTCCGATGAAAGTTCGCATTGCCGCATCGAGTGCGCTTCTCTTACAAACGAACGTACAACTTTTTTTTACGCTTATGCAGATGCTTGTCAAATGACGCGATTGAATTTTTTTAACGTTGGGGTGGTCGAAAATTGAGAGTTGAAAAAGTAAGAAAAGTAGTCGATTTCTTTAACGGCGAGAAACGCAGAGGTTCCTTGCAAAAGTCGTACGGATCAAAAGTTTGCAAAGATAAAAAGAACATAAAAAGAAAAAGCGAGAGAGAAAGTTGAATAAAAAGAAACTTAACAGTGAAAGTGATGTTTCTCTATCATTTTATTTTTCCTGGAGCTTTAATAACTACGGAGATGCACGTGTTTTTTTTCACGATGCAGATAACTAAAGCTGGTTGAAAGAGCTTGGCTTCTTTGCTGTTGGTTTCCGTTATTATTTCTAACGTTATTTGTTCTTTCGCTAGACATGAAGTTACATGTACCAGAAAGTAATTGAATTTACATTCCATTAATATATAAAACGATATTCTTGTCCTGATACTATCCCATTTGAGTAATTTACTATACATCGTTGCTTGAGACATTTGTATCCCAAATTTTATTAGAGAGCTGTTTGCGAGGAAAAAGCTTCTCTTAACTTCTTTTCAACTTGTATACAGTATCGACAGTAGTTTGCTCGCGTAATTTAATAGGAACTACCACTGCGAAACGCGAAGACGGTGGAATTTCCACCGAAGAAAATGTCGATATCATCTTTCTAGGCGGTACCTGGGACGTGGCCGGCTTCTAAGTTTAGCGCCGGGTAGGCGGCTTTGAGCCGAGCAGCACTCGAAAATATTTATATATTAGGCGAGCGAATCGTATTTTTATCATCTCTTTCTACGAGAAAAAATTACAGGTTGATTGGGCCGCTCGCTTTTCCGTCGATTACACGAAGTTCGTTAATTTAATAGACCGTTGTATTATTTTTACGTGGTTGATCAACACGTAGTAATTTGGACCTCGTGTCGCGAAGAAAAATGTTGAATTTCTCACAATGTTAAATAAATCTGTTACGATACACGTGTCTATAAAGCGTACCATAAAACTTGTGTATTTTGAGCAAAATTGTAAATGACATAGTTATATTATGTTCCAAGAGCAATTCAACTGATGTAATTCGATAAGGATAAAGACTACAAAAATGCGTAGTATTAGTGAAATTGCAAAAGATTCCTGCCAGTTTCATGTGATAGTTGCTTGAGCTTGGATGCCGCCGGTAGTACCTCAAACGTCAGAGAATCGTAGTTTATGAGTTCACGTGATCGTACGTAAACACGAGAAGTTTCGTTTTGCCGGGATATCTTTACGTGTCTCACTATATCTCATTGTTATATCACATACCGCAATTTCTGGCACAAGGTTCCAGTTCTTGTTGCTTCTCGGGGAAACAAGATCGTCTCACGCGTTTAATCGTGGCCCTTTTTATTAGCTTTTCCCGTTGGATTGTCAAACCTCTTTCACTACGTGCGTTACGTGAGAAACAAATGTAGGTAATCCTTTCCTTTTTTTGATGGTATTGTAATTGAGAATATTAAATAAGAAAGTATTACAATAATATGATATTTCGATCGATTAACGAGATTCCCAACATTTTCACAGAAAGACGAATGTGAGTGATTTCCGGCCATGTTTCAAGGCTCACTCTCCATCCAGAATTCATCTTCTGAGACTTGAGTCATTTTTAAAATCACTTTTAAGATTTAAGACTCCATTCTAAGTCATAGTCGGAAAGTACAGTGTTATTCCATCGTTTCGTGGCAAAATTTTCGTCTCCCGTCGGTTTCCGGAGTAATGCGATAATACGAACGAATTTTGAGTTACGAGTGATAGGAGAAGACGCACGCAGGCAGCTGTCGTTTGGCAAGCGCAGCTGCGCCGGATAAAGATAGAATCCCGAGTCTTGTTCCATAGTCTACGATATGTATAGCTTTTTGCCGCACTTAGTCGTAAGAAATTTTTGCAAACGTCTTCTCGTTATAAAACTTGATACAAATCTAAAATCTGATACGCATACTCTACTTTCTTTAACACAATCTTCACAAAATATCATTGTCTCCTTTTTCGCGAAAGTTCATTTGTAATCGTTTAATCAGCTATTACTTGGAAGGCGAGCATTCGATTGGTCATAAATATCGAAGGTTACGATATTAATTAAATTTAGTTTGCATTCGTACGATTTGTTATTTTTAGTTGTAGAAGAATTGAGAATGGATTTTATGACGGTCCAATCACACAGCTAGAACAATTCGTTTCTGGAGACTCAGAACGATGCTGGCACGGATTTATGCGGTTTCTTATGTAATTATCGTGCGGGTTGATGACAGCCAACTCCCATCGATTCCCAAAATAACAAATCCTTGAATCGGCCACTTTTATTTAAACTCCGAGACGTCGCGTTGGGCGCATCTTCAACCATCAGTAATCCAGTTTATTCAATTAGCGCACAAAGCGAGATATTTTTATACCGAAGCGAAGTATATTTGAAATATATACCTAATAACACATATTAAGAGGCATCACTTGATTTTATTAATCTCCAATTTATGAAAAATTATCTGACGAACATCTTTCAAGCCTCTCGCAGTTGGCGAGAATTATTTAAATTACATGTGACAAATAGAAATAAAACTTTGAAAGAGTCAAACGGAAAGGATAAGGAAAAAATGTAACATAATTTTTGACGAAAATAAAAAATTGCACTGATTAGAGTCTTTAACGAGAGCAGGTTCTTAGCGAGATGTGTTAAATTACAGCGAATCATCAGTGCACCTAGGTATAGAAAGCTATAGGGGCCGATGACGCGTACCGGTAATTTTACGTAACATTGACCTTCGTCAGTCAATCGTCATAGTTTCGTCAACGTTACAATTTCATTGTACGTCACGAAGAAGCTTGCTTTTCCGCATTTTCCTTTGCTACCGCATTTCCGGTTGCAATTGGAACATAATTAGAACAACTTGTGTTTTGGTATCGGCCTACCAGTTCAAGATCTTTGACGTCCAAGCTACAACGATCTAGCACAATCAGGACGCGAACTCTTACTATTTCAAATCGTCGACAAGATTACTAAAGAAACGTCCATACGAGTTGACTGCGTGACGAAATTCCGTGGCAAATCCCAGACAAACGAACTGAAAGCTCCGAGTCTGTTGATTGCGACGGGATCGCGGCCGGTCGACGAGATCGAATCACTGGCCGCGCGAATAAATCTACGCTCGTGGGATCCAACTCTGAACGTATCCGGTCTTCAGGACGCTAAAGGTTCGTCCGCGTGGGGTCTGGCGGTTTTACTGACCTCGTAAGGCAACGGCTAGAAAGCTGAGGAGGAGGCCCACGACGAGCGCGGGTCTCATCCGCGCACCCGTCATCTCGTCGCACTAGACACTACGCGATCGGCCGGGGCCAGGGCTGGCGCACAGCTCGTCCTCTCTCACTTCTCGATCCCGTCGTCGTCTTCGACTCCAACTAGCCCGCGAGGCACTGGCATTGTCACTACCGCCAAACCCTGAAGACGCCCCTCTCTTCTTCTTCTTCCTCTTACCCCACGGGCGCAATGGCAGCGACAGACTGGGCGGTCGTCGCTTTTCTTTTCGCCGTCGTCTTACCTTATCACGGGCCCACCTTCGGACCACCTCGTAGTCATCGGTCGGAAAAACCTGCGGCGGATGCGGAAGCACCCTCGCCCTCGCACACGTTATATCGAGTGCGTCGTCGAGCCCCGACGTGGTCAGAGTCGGCGGCGATCGACAGCCATGAGAGTTCTCTATCGACTTTACGAGTACACCCGCTTTGACGTTATTCGACGATTTCGCCACCGGATGCACCAATTGAAACCAAAATCCTGAGTCGCTCTCGCGATCTCCGATATCGTCCCATCGTATTCCCGATCTCGATTTAGTTATGACATAATGAATAACGCGTAACGTTAGGGAAGAGGAGGGTCCCTTCCGACGACGAGCAGTGAGTAGCTCTTATTTTTGCGATCATCACGGAGACGCGGCGTAGATCAAGGTCGCCTATTCGACGCGCTACGCGAGATCGAAATAGTTGTTGCGCTCTTAGGATGCAAGTACGTAACTTTACCGAATATGAGGATTCATTGACCGGTGCTCGTCAATTAATTATTTCAGACTTTGTCATTCCAAAAAGAAAGGTGAAAGTACGCTGTTCCTTCTTGATACGTCAAAATTTACCCGAGTCGAAATTTTGGTACTATCTTGACACTTTTAAGGATAATTTACACCTACTTAGCTGATCTATACACCTACATAGACCAGCAATAACCAACTTTGATGACATATTTTTTTCATTCTTACCTTGAATCTTTAATTGTAAAAATGTATGGTATTTTAGCTCCTACTTAAAAGGACCTACTTTAATGCTAAATTGGTAAAAGTAGACATTTCCGACACTATCAGTTTTTAAGTAGGAGTAAATTTTGTATTTGCAGCTTGACCTCTTTTACTGTCTTAGGTCTTACTATACAGGGTGAGTAAAAAGTACCGGACCGGTGAAATATCTCGAAAAATATGGAAGATACGGAAAAATATTTCAGACAAAAGTTGTGCGGTTTTAAAAGGACTATATAATGGTAAAATAACTTTTCGAAAAATATAAGTTTTTTATGGTTATATGGAGGTCGCCGTCATTTTTTTAAATGGAACTCCCTATTGTTTATTATACTATCTTATTCTACTAATTAATATGAACAACTTTTATCTGAAACATTTTTTGATTTGCCTAATACTTTTTGGGATATTCAAGAGAAAATTTATAACTTTTTCAATGTTTAGTTTATAATATCTCGGTAACTGTTTGTAGGAGGGAAAAGTAGCACAGGACTTTTTTAGTTGATTTAGTCTCAGGAATATGCTGTTGCAGTGGTGTTTCAATTATTGAAAATTTTTGTGTGTATAATTGTAACACATAAAATTTACATACACAAAAATTTTCAATAATTGAAACACCATTGAAACAGCTGAGACTAAATCCTGAGACTAAATCAACTAAAAAAAGTCCTGCACTACCTTTCCCTTCGACAAACAGTTACCGAGATATTATAAACTAAACATTGAAAAAGTTATAAATTTTCTCTTGAATATTTCAAAAAGTATTAAGCAAATAAAAAATAAAAAATTTTCCGTATCTTCCATATTTTTCGAGATATTTCACCGGTCCGGTACTTTTTACTCACACTGTATAATAGAATGAAAGGTTTAACATAGGGCCAAAATTTCGACTTGGGTAACTGTGTTTCAAATAAAACTCCCTTGCTCGTTACTATACAGATTATGTCAGTTCTCGAATATTTTTTGGTCAGTATTAATTAATTGGAAGTCATTGACGTTGTATACTTTCCTTCAAATTTCAGTTATCTGAGGTTTAATCACTCGAATTTATTAATTATAGCGTGATATTTTTGGGGGTGATCCTAAGAATGATCTCTTTACTCTCTAGTAATCTTCGTGCTTTTGGCAACTTTGTAACTAACAATAACTTTTCGAATACTAGTACTTCTGCAAATATACATACCGCGTAGTGTCTTTCCTCTAGAACTAATGTCGCGCGGCTTGAAATTTCGGGCTATACCGTGGTGCACTTAAAAATATCTCTCGGCATTCCCGGTGCTCATCAGAGAGATCTATCTGGACGAGGGTTAGCAACGTAAATCGTTGACCGCTTGACGATCTTGTTGCCGCGAGCCACGTCGTACGTCATCTCCGCGAACCTCGCAGTTTCCACCACGACTTGTTCCACCCATTTCTTTCTTTATGACGGAAGCACTTATTTTTCCACCATTGCCTCTTCCACCGTTATAGCCGGACGTGTGTGTGCTTCAAAGTTGCAATCGCGCATTTAGCGTCACACGTAATGAAGAGATGAAATGTAAAATTGGACCGTGAATTTTTAGATACAGATGCGAAACTCGGACGTTTGGTTTAAATTTCCTGGATTTGAATTTCCAAATTTTAACTCTGGGTTTTGGTTCTCGTCGTGCTTTCGCATCTTCAACATCTCGAGAGTATCAAGTTATTATTTGAAATTCACACGGAGCACTAAATGCTTTGCACAAATCGTTTGAGCTGGTATAAAAAACTTATTGATTTCAACTTGCGATACCAATACTTCGCCGCCTATACTTTACCAGCTTTTTATAAACCAGTTTCTAACTTTCGGATTCGGTGATTCATAGACAAAATTAATTTTCAGCATCTAAAACATCGAAAGACTGATTTCAAGACTGTCGATCGAGTGTTATTGAATTCCACTAGGTATCGCGATTCCTTTTGAATAGGATTTTTGGGAACATTGGGATCAAGTTCTAAAAGTTATGCGTGATAGGTGCTAAAATGAAACTAGTAACAATTATGTTAATGAAGACTCTGTATAAGAACAATAGTGAGTTAGGATAAGGGCGATAAGAGTCTTTGACAAATTTTTTATACTATATTTAAAGGTATTTTCGCATAGATGTAAATAAACAAAAACACCAATTTGTCTTTTTGAGTGTTAAATATCGACAATTTTAATTAACGTCAGACGTTTCGGTTACTAAACGGTAACTCTTTCCAATGACAGTTTTTCAATACATAAAAAAGGAATTTTTAACCAACAAATTTATCACAATAGCATTTCTAACTATTGTGAAACTAGTAACAGTTTACGATATTTCGTACATTTCCTCGGCTTGTCGGTTACAAACATGGAGAGAATTTTGCTGCTTCATTGGTGAAGGCGACTAACCGAAGCGTGGCGCGTGACCAGAGAGATGAGATTCGCCGCGAAATACGCGCGCACAGACGCAGAGGAGCGTCAGAACCGCGGGCGCCTTTATATTTAGAAGCCCGGGTCGCACCCGTATAAGGTGGCCCGTCGTGCAAAAGTCCTCTCTTTCTCCTCTCCTCCCTCTCTCTTCGTCTCTTCCTCCCTTTTTTTCGCTGGAAACTCGCAGAAACCCATATGTTTAATTAATTAACCTTACGGTTGAAAGCAATGCTCATAATCAGCTCTCTTTCGAGAGGCCTTCTTGCTTCAGTAAAGAAAATACCTTGCATATATGTGTGCGCGCGTGTGCATATGTGAATGTTACTTGTACAGCTTGCTGTTTCATTATACGCGTGATGAGGCGAAATAAATTCTTTGCTGCACAGAGCATTTTTGTCTCGCGAGATGTACAATAATTTTAACAATTTTACGTAAAATTGCGGGAGAGGCAACGACTTTTCATCTTGCAAATTTTTATTACATGTAAGTGAAATGTATCAATGAATTCTAATTACTCGAAAAGGTATTCGACTAGCGATTTTATCATACATTTGCAAAATTAATCGGTAGAGGTATGTCCTGTATTATGAGATAGGATTCTAATGTGAGATAGTAGGTTTTTAACGTCCAAATTCAATCGCAAATTTTTTTTCGCAACGATCACACGATCCAACGATCAATTTTCCATTAAACATATCTCACTCCAAGGACAACAGCATGGTGGAAGTATACGAGGTGAACCATTGTGCATGAAGGGGTTA